TGACGCCATAGGTGTCTCAAATTAGCAAACGCGGCCCGAGCCTTGCAGATTCGTGCATTCACCTCATCTATCACACTACAATCAGAACAAATACGACTTCCAAGGTACGTAAAACGCTCCACAACCTCCAGTGCCTCTCCCTGAATTGTAAATGGCGTGTTCAGTGACTGCACGTCCACAAGCATGACCTTACACTTTGTGGCCAATGAAACTTCCAATAAAAAACACCTTACTTTCTGGTCCAGTTCAATGTCTATTTTTGAAATCAATTTTTCGAATACTATTCGGAGGACTTTGCTTTCCTAATGATTGCTGATCACGTCCTGTTGAATGTCACTTCTGTAGTTCAGGCCCTAAGCAAAGACAGACACCACCCCGCCCCATAAGGCTGCCACTTACTCGAATCTGCACAACAGTTTGTAATAAAGAGTGATTAGCGTAGGGATGTGGTACGTAAATGCTTTTGTCTTCGGTAATTGCATTCCCAACTCGAAGTGCAATGGCAGTTTAGGGTGTATTTTCTCCTATCTTGTCTTCTTTTGTTATTTACCACCGAATGCTCGTCAAGGCTACCTCGCTGGTAGACACCTGATAGATCTCGATGACTCGAGATGGCTCAGGGCGAAGATACTGCCTGGAAGGTCCGTGATTCAAATCCAACCTCTGCATCTCGAGTGCTCCTGTCCAACGTTGGGCAATCTGGAGTATCTCAACCTTGGTGCTTCCTTGAGGTGGTATGACAACTAGGCACAGAAAGGGCATTACAGCTTAACGATCAGATCTCGATGGTCATGGGACGAATGCGGCATGGTTGAGTATCAACACTCAAGGATGTTGATAGAGCCCATCCAATAGCAGTCATACCTCATAGCTGTCGGCTTCAAGGCCTAGCTGTCCTCCATAGAAGTAGGATGGTTCGACATTAGCGATCTACTTTCCAATCACCAGAAATCTGATATCTGGAATGTATCCGGACTTCCTGTACACTGTTTATGGCTGGCAAATCGAACTGACAATAAATATCTGTTAATAGATATATCCTGACTACCCTCGTCTTAGGCGCGATTCCGCACCGAAACCGCTTTGCCGCTCGCAGTTAGGCGCTGTTACGGCCACACGCGATTGGTCGAAAGATCGGGTCGCTTACTCGTCCAGTATCAAGGTGAGCTCTGACTGGGCGAAAGTGTGGATCTAACAGCCAATCATAATCCAGTATTCGCCGAATGTTAGTTGCCAATGCAGCTTCCAAACGAAAGTCGAAAGTTCCAGAACGTTGTCGCCGCTACACTTCATGTACGACGTGCTGGATGTGTTTTGGATGTTTAATACCCGTGCACCTTTGGTGGCTCTTTTAACGAGAGCTCCAGCGCGGAAAGTTCAGTCCGAGAACTAAGCTGAGGCATTACCGTTATTATACCACGACTGAAGCTGGTCGAGGTGGTTCCTTCTTTTGAAATGTTGTTCTTGAGAAAATCAATCGATGCGTCACCTTATGTAGCAATCGAATTCCCTTTGAGTTGATTAGTTTATCCTTTCCAGGGAATTTGTCATGTTGATTTCGAATGGTTCTAATATGATTCTCCCACTATGGATTATAAACTAGGGTGCTGATCGAGGTCGAACTGTCACATTTTCCCACAAACGCTTATCCAGGGGAGTTCCTATCACATATTTCTTTGAAATATGTGCCTGACTTTGGTCAGTTCACCCAAGAATACTTGCGCCTTCTCCGCCTCTTCGTGCAATTGGATATACCACCAGTTATTGGGATGGTCGGACACGACTCAAGAAGTCAGGATGCGGAGGGACCAGAGAAGTGAGTCTCAACGGAGTGGGCGGATGAGACCAATTCCCAAAATCCAGCAGCTTCCTTAAAGATTCTTCCCTCCACACACTTCCGGTTACTTTGCGATCCGCACTCTGCTTTTCAAACACCAGATGTGAATCCTCGAACAAAAGATATGCAGCTCTGGGGACGTTGCTCGTGGATAAATCCTCATCTTACTCTATGGTTATATCCTAACGACGCTGCTGACCGTTCGCTATGGGTAGCAACGGTCATGGATAGTCCATTCATCTCTCTACAAGAAAGTGCAGTGGAGAAGTTATATTTCCGGGACCCGTGGAACAACTACACACTACCAAGGATCACGCGGTAGTATGAAGTTACCAGAATAGCATGACCCAGACACATAAGTTAGCAGAAACGTTTGGAGCACTACAGTAACAAAGTTCTATATTACGGTTCACCCCCCGCATACGTTCTGCATTAGCACAGCGATGCTTACGTGCGTGCTCATCACATCACATCTCATATACCATACGTGCCTTCGAGAACGAATTCTGAGTTAACAAACAAAAACAACTCTGCTTGTTTCGTATAACAGAATCACGTTACTCAGAAGCTAAAGAATCCGAAAGTTGGTTCGTGGTACCAAGTTAAGAATCAGACGAATCAGACGTAGCTAAGCTTCCAGCTTTTGACCTACAGTCAGAGATAGTCGTCTGAGTGATAGGCTTCTAAACGAGCCGTCGAAAACAGTAGACTCAAACGCCGGTCCTTCCTTTACTTTATGTATGGGTGACTTGCTTTCCTCTGCGTCCTCCTTTATCCAGATAATACCCTTCCGAATGGGTAACAGGCAACGAGCTCGAGAGACCTCAGCGATTAAGGCCCCAACCTACTGACCGGAAGTTTTGAATCAAACCCAGGCATCCCGACTGCTCCTGCTTAGGCTTGTGTAACCTAAAAGTATATCAGCCCTCGTGCTTCCTTCAGCTGGCATGCCAGCTACGACCTGAAAAGGTGTTACAGCTGAACGATCATCATTATTATCGAAATACCGTCAGGTTGTCGGAGTTTGTACAATGCTACTAATGGATGTTGGGAGTAGGTTGTTGAGGCAAACAACTCGCACCTTAACCTCTGCACCTTGCGAAACGTGTGCAGTTGCACCTCACACGCTAGAAATTCGCAGTTCAAAGATAGGTCGGGGAAAGAATGGCAGTTCATATTGAAGCAATAATTGAGACAGCTGATAAATCCGGCAAAGCACACTAACAAAGCCACTCACCTCGCAAAGGATGGTCAATCGGTCGTTGGGAAGTAGACCATTGGCTTCATCCATCAAAACATCCCGCCGAATAAATTTTTTGAAGCCCCAGTCCTTTCCTTGCACAAATCGGTAGGCACGTTGACTCTCTTGGATATGGACAAAGGTAAGGCAAAGAGTGATAAAAGTGTCAATTTAGGTGCGATGCAGGGTACGGAGCGAAAAGCTTCGTTTTATTGAAAAGTTGACAGGTTCAGAAACATCCACAGCCGGAAGATCCACTGCTGACGCGGAAATGATATAAATATAAAGCCGACAGGATGAAAACAAAGAGTTCATGAGCTGTACCAAGGTCCTGGCGTCAAGTTCGATTTTTCGTGGAGACGTCATTAACCTGTGTTTTGTATGTAAAGGGTTAATCATAAGGGATTCCGGAGCAGAAAGTAAATATGCTGTGATCCCATGTTGTGTGTGTGACTGGTCTGTATCGTTGGGGTCCGTCATGTCGTCACGTTGCTCAGCGGCTTAACGTAGCCCGAGGATGTACGGATGCGCCGGACAACTCCACAGGAAACTAGGTACTCAGCCACGTTATCCAGCAGTGTGGAATGTAGCCAGACCACTCAGTCTCACACATTACTGAGAAAAAAACTGACAACTGTCGATGGACAGCGCGCCAAGTATTAAAAGACGCTTCCAACCTCAGTCTCCGCGCGGATGGCAGCTGGAAGTGGTCTGATCGGGCGTTAAAAGGGGATCACGGCAAACAGCCAGAGTGCCGTAGTCCAAATAACCGGTGCTGGGTGTAATCCTATCAGCGAAGCGATTCACAAAATACAAAAATCTGCCATGACGCATCCAGAAATGGACAGAACACTCCCATCTACAATTCAACTGGCAAGCGAACGCCCTCACAAATACAGCCAACCTGAGTGGTTTCACCACCCATAACCTCTGTGGCTAGGGAGGAAACTGAAATCCTCAAGCGAGCTTAGCCACATGGCGACGAAGGTTTCTAATCGGCCACCTTAAATGTTGTAGTAAAATGCTTATCAGGGAACAAATCACCCTACGTTTCAAAGTGCACTTCAAAGAGAGAATGCCGTCTGAAAGAGGTGCATCAGTAGTCGTCCCTTTTTTAAAAGGAAATTTGATATTTACGATTCTTCCCAGATTTTTTCCTGTGTCATCGATAAGAAAAGGTTAGACTGACCCCGCGATGCCCCGAGCACATAGCTCGCAAGCACACGTTAGATGAGAGGGTGTGAGAGATGAATTGAATGAATGAAAGTATGAGTGATGTGAACCGTCCCGAGGGTCAGCAAACTTACTGCCCCAGGATCACGGTGGAAGTATACACTCACTGTCAATCTCAAGTAAAATGGAAAAAAGAGGGAATCCGCAAATTCCAGCTATTCACACCAACATACCCATCGCTTTTGTCTCCTCACGTTTCGCATTGAGGATGGAGAATTTGAACTTCGCACGAGCCTCACTTTTTGTACCGCAGTTGACTAGGAGCAGATAAAGAGATAAATATTCCCGACTCTCCTCATCCAGTCCCTTGGGGTTGATGCGTAGACACCTAATTTGGAATTGCGAGGATAAGAATGCGCACAAGTTGTCCTAATCTACTGCTTACCATTTCAGCTTATCGTTTGGTCCACATGAAAAGAACGAGCTTTTAACAACCTCGCCCATTTCTTCGCGACAGAAACTGAAGTTGCTTATTGTCCAAATGTATTTCATTTTTGTGACTCGAACCTGGCACGGGAAGGTAGGGTAAAAAGGTTGTGTATGTATTGGCTTACCTGAGTATGGCACCAATATTCAGCTACTACAGGCGGAGTGAGAACGTCTAGCGGAGGTGGAGAACTGGTTCGGCTCACTGTAGCCACTTGCCCGTCAGTGCTATCAAGCGTGGTCCTCAACGCTTCCATAGCATGGGCTGAAATTAGGAATCGGAGATGAAAATAGTTGGTTAAAAATAACGGACTGGAAGAACATAATGTAATCGCTCTCGCCGGTAACTCCGTATGATGACAGTGTGTCAGCATCGTAACAGATCGGAAAATGGGCCTGCGCGGCGGACACCGAAACTTTGAGGCTTGTCATGGTATTCGAAACTCCACAAAGTAAGCCTCATGCTCAACCCTTAAATGGTAATCTGATACGTTCTGCCGTCCAAATAAAGTGCCTACCCGGAGTACGATGACTACGATTGCGGCGTTCTGGGGAAGATTCCCGCTAGAATGCGGGAAGCATTCTTCGCTGCCCTTGACCTAGCAAAGGTGAAAGGTGATCCCCAAACTACAGGCCAACTATTACTGGGACGTACTGCAGTTCCCTTTTTACCTCACAAGCCGTGTACCGAGGTGCGATTGATCCAGCTGCTATAGCTTCGTTCATCGGGGGTTAGGAGAATAAGGGAACGAGAGCCAAGCGTTGGAGGTGACGGTTCGTTGATGTAGAACGGTTCTGTCTGTCTGACAGAGCATGGATTGAGAGCTACGTAGTGGTGCAACACCACTATTGGCTGCGTGAAACGGCCACGTCTGTCATGGCCACCAACCATTAGTTTGTCTTGTCTCACGGTCTCCATCCGGGGAGAAGGTAGTCGCCCACGCAATTGAGTTGGCTAGCAAAGGCCTTCATGCTTCGTTGCCAAGCCATGGACTGACCGCATCCCCGTCGTCTCTATTCGATACAAGGCTGGAAGAAGATGAGTGGGGCATGACACTCACTACGATGTCTCTGATTGCTACCCAATTAACTGAGAGACAGCCGAGCAAACTGAAAAACATCAATCGTAGGCGAGGGTTTATCTCTGGATGTACAGAAGTAGGGAATCTAGTGGTTTATCAACTATAAAGCATGGGGGAGATAGCTTAGCGACCAGAGTGCGAATTTACAGACCGGAAGGCCCTTGGTTCGAACCCAGATCTGCCTCTCGACTTCCACTGTCTAGGATTTCGTGACCTGGCAGTATCCCAGCCCTCGTGTTTCCTTCGGGTGGCATGGTAGCTAGGCACCGAAAGAGTGTTACAGCTAAACGATAAAGCATGTACCACGGTACCAGCCGCTACAGTCTCAGCTG